CTGTACTTTGTCAGATTTTGTGATCGTTAATTATTAGACATTATACATTACACATTGTCATGGTCCATTTTCGCTCATTTAGAAATAATAAGCGTCACACCGAGTTGTCACCCAATTATGTAGCATTTAGCTTAATTGTAGTACCGACTAGACACGTGAGTGACTAATTGTGTTTTGATTGTGTCAACAGATTGATCTAATTACCGAGAGATCATCCTCTGTAATATATTTACAATAATTGAACAAATTTTTTTATTAATGAAGCGGCGTCTTTTAACAAAATATTATGTTATATAAAATCAATATACTTGTTAACTTTATTAGTGTATAATATTTAGAGACCTGAAGATGTGGTCTGGTAAGATGTATGTTTCGAAAAACATTTTCTTTAACATACCAACGTTTCGATGTTTATTGAGCTCATCTTCAGGGTCTGGAGTATATAATTATGGGTTTTATTACAACAAGCCTTCAAGGAATGTTATAGCTTTCTTTTTGGTTCTACCAATCGCCACGCGTAGCATTGCGAAAAAATTAAAGTTTAACATACTACGGAAAGAAGTGTATGCATCTGATGAACCGCATAGGCTTACTGGTGAGTATACACATTTGAATTTGTATAATTTGGCGGGAAATTTCCGTGCCCTGTTAAGTATTGGGACATTACATAGCCCGGCGTTGTTTCATCTTCCATCTGGCAATGACATCAGGAAAGTAAATCTTTGTGCTTGCTCCCTTCTCTGACGTGGGAAACTTGGTTAACCCAAATAGAAACTTCGTTACATTTAACCACTTCTAAAATCTTGCTGTCCATCTGAATTTACTAATTATCGTTCCATTTCCTATCAGGCTGTCTTTGCTAAACTTTTCAAATCTTTTGTCTATGATTTCATTGCCCCTCTCTGTAATAAATTTTTAACACACTAACAGCACGGTTTTCATCACAACAACCGAACAAATCCACCAACTAATCTCCTGTCTTCGAAAATTTTTTACTAAACGCTTTTTCGTACAATAAACTAGTGAGTGTAATTTATACGGACTTCAGTAAGGCATTTGATTTTGTATATTTTAATATTTTAATTTGCTTTTGTCCAAATTAAATGTTCTGGGCTTCCATGGGTTCATTTTGTTGTAGTTGCATTGTTATTTACATGGTACACAGCCTTAAATAAACAGTTAATTAATTTTTCTCTTTGCAAAAACATCGAGGGTTGATATAACCTTTGCTGTTGCGAACCCTTGTAAAGAAAAATAAATAAAAAAGAATTCTCTGAATTTATTGAGCAAAATCTGGAGTGCCGCAGGGCTTTCATTTAGGCCCTTTATTATTTCTGATTTTTTAAATTATGCTGCTGAATTTCTCCCTCAGAATATATATTACTTGCTCTTCGCTGACGATGTCAAACTGTATCCTTGCAATTAATAATGATAATGTCACAAAATACTTCAGTCTTTCCTAAATTTACTAATTGGTTCTCAAAAAATAGACTTAAATTTAATCAAAACAATTACTATTAATATAAAAGACTGAATAGTATTTACCTTGACATTTTTATAAATTTAGATTGGTTATGATGGTGTATAGGTTTCTTGCTCGTCTATATTATAAATAAATAACTGGTAATATCTTTAGATACTGACCAATCATGATTTCATACTGTTACAAACTATCTTGTACAATTACATTCAGAAAAACTAAACGATTTGCCATTCACAAAAAAAGTTAATAATTATAGTACAATAGTAAGCCCTAGCTATGTCACGTAATCTGAGGTAGTGAATGTGACCAGTGGAAATGTACTGTCGTAGAAATACACAATACATGGTGTCCTTTATAGATGGGCTGGCTGAATTCCTCTTGAACCAATGTTGCTATAAAAAAAGAAAAAAGGAAAATAAAGCCCGGAACACACCCGATGCTACGCCATGCGACGCTCCCCGACGCAAATCCAAAGTCTATTATTCCATAATAATATACCTCCGTGCACATCTCCAGATGCGACGCAACGCTACCCTACTCTACGCCACGCGATCCCCACTCTCCAGATTTTCGTCGGGTAGCATCGAGTACAGTCGAAGACAAAAGAACCGGACACTCATATTTTTATTCAATCTACATGTATTATTGTCGTTATATTAATTAAATTTTAATTATAACTTATTTTGATTCATAAGCTTTTATTAAAAAAAAATAATTTTAATGGTTTGGAAGAAAGTCACTCTAAGCACCAGAATATCATTTTTTGATATAATGAATTTAACTAACAATTTATTACACGGTTTTGCTCATAAAATGTAACTAACAATTTATTTCATTGTTTTGCTCATAAAATTACACCAGTTTCGTCGGGTAGTGTCAGAAGAGTGCAATCTTATTTTTTGTAGTTTATTTCAAAGTAAGTACATGTAATTTTGTCGTTATATTAATTACACCATGCTATTTTAATGTAAACCAATTTAAACGAGATCAAAAATTCATAAGTTTTTATAAACATTATCATATATAATTATTCAGATATCGTGAGATGCGGTCGGGAGTGATGTAGGTTTCAGAAAAACATTTCCTTTATCGTGCCAACGTTTTGATCTTTTATTGAGATCATCTTCAGGGCTCAAAGTGTTTGTCTTCTGTGTAATTGTGCCATCCTTGAGTGTCGTGTTGAGAGTGCCATTGACACACAAGGATGGCACAATTACACAGAAGACAAACACTTTGAGCCCTGAAGATGATCTCAATAAAAGATCGAAACGTTGGCACGATAAAGAAAATGTTTTTCTGAAACCTACATCACTCCCGACCGCATCTCACGATATCTGAATAACTATCGATTAACGGTCACTAATCTCTACACATTATCATATATGATGGTTAGTCGTTATTTAATATATTAGTCGTTAACTTTATTTAAAACAATTAAGTTTAACAAACAATTTTTAGATGGTTGTACTCATAAAATTTAACTAACAAGGTTTTGCTCAAAATTAAGAACACACGTTATTGTGATACATGCTGTGTGACTGTACGCTGCGTATGCTTGCGTCGAGCAGATGTGCACACCCTACCAAAACGTGGCAAGGCGTCGGGTCGCAATGGGTAGCGTTGCATGGCGTTTCATAGGGTTAGTGTGTTCCCGGCTTAAGTGTTTAATATTTTTAGTCTAGTTTCCAATTTTTACCTTTTGTTGGAAAAATGTATTACAGGATACCTCAGGACCAGTTCATCTTCAAAATTGCAAATACGGCCGTCATCCTGACACATCATTTGAAAGGATTTTTACGCTGAAAACTGCGCTGGTATTGCTCGTCGTGAAGTTGAGTTCACTCCCAGAATTTTCCTGATCGCTCATGAGTATATCACAAAACTTTTATTCGTGTTGCTCGGAATACGGGGATACGGTTCATTTGTAGTGTTCCATTACGAAAACCGGCAGCGTTCGACGAGGAGCTGAATATTTTACTGTATGTTCGCGAAAATCCGAATTCTTCTTTCCGCAATGTTGAATGAGTTTTAGGTTTTTCAAAAATTAAAATTCATGATGTACTCCGGACTTATAGTTTTTAACCGTAACGCTCTCATTTTGTCCAGGGACCTCGATAATCTGATTATAACAAGCGTCTAACGTTCCCTTCACAAATGACGATTTGGGAGGTTAAATACAACGTCCGTGCATCCTATGAACTGATTAATCCATGTTCACCTTTAATGGCATAATAAACTGTTGGAATTTTCGAACGTGGCCAGAAGAAAATCCAAGGATTTTATGGTTTAGTATCAATGTTTGGCGAGGACTTCTCGGAAATAAATTAATTGGGCTTATTTATACGATAATAATTTGAATAGTGCTCAGTTCCTCAATTTTTTGTGAAAGATTTTTCCTACACTACTAGATGATGCTCCTCTGCAGCAACTTCAATTCTCCAGCTTGATGTATGCCCCGCACATGATTCTTTGCTTCTTAGGTAAGATGTTATATGAATGGGTCATTTCCGCAGTGGTGGATAAGACTTCATGGTCCGATCTGTTGGATATTGATCGGTCACCTCGATTTAACTGCAATTTTGACTATTTTATGTGGGGCCATTTAAAAAACAGTGTCTGAAGTTGAAGAACTGCGATAAAGGATAGAAAATGCTTGTCAATCATCTATCGCTCAGAGCAGAGTATTCAAAAAGAGCAAATCTTTCCATCTTTACGCAAGACAGGCAGTTCAAACGTGAAATGTGATTAATAAATAGCAAACCAAATAATAGTTTTTTTTGCCATAACTTTGTCATTTTTTGACCAATTTAAGATTCGATTGCACCATTATTTTCAGCGTCAAAATTCCTTTAAAATGGTGTGTCAGGCTGTATAGGGCCGTATTTGAAATTTTGAAGTTAAACTGGGCTTGTATAATTTTTCTTCGAAAAAGGGATAAAAACTAGACTAAAAAATATTTTTTTTTTTTAATACCGATGCCGGGCTTAGGACTCAGACGTTTTGTGATGATGCCTCGCATGACGGCTGCTTTTTCCACTATGGCACGCTCGCAGTCTCAAAAAAAGCCCAGGTGATGCTGGGTGTCGCCTTGTCTCTCGGATTTCGATATGGCAGTGTTGGGCTCCTCTCGTCTGCGGTGCTTCAGTGGGCCGTCGAATGCGCATATCCTTTTCGTACATATTTGATAGTTGACAACTTGAGATACAAACAATAGTCTAAAATTTTAGGTTATTAACATACTGTATATATAAAAGCAGAAAGTAAGGAGCAAGATGGAGACGCTGGAAAGGCTGCAGTTTAAAAGAAAAATATGTGAATGACGGGAAAAATAAGTAAAACACTCAGAAGGCCGGCGATGACCATAGCCGTTTGTCAGCCCATAATTTTTCCACATTATATGTTGTATAATTTATTAAATATAGAAAATTGTATTAATTTTCATAGAAGGCCAATTATGCTTATAAAGATCGCAGGGCGAACAAACTGCATATTTTAATAAATATTTTAATTTTTTCAGTTTTTATTATGGAAAGGAGTGAGCAGTCAAAGTGGAGCCCAGGTTCCTCCTGTTGGAAGTGAATACAACGATCGGGCTAATGACGGCAGCTACAGATTTGGATTTCAAACTGGAGACCAAGGAGCACATTACCATGCAGCAGTTGCTTCGAGGGAAAATCAGGTTGCTGGGAGGTCTGTATTTTCTCAGTTGTAAAAATAAAACCAGAAAAATATGGATTTCTTTGTGTTTAAAGGTTTGGCTCTAGAGATCCTTCGACAGGAAATGTCGTGGAAACAAAATATACCGCTGGGAGAAGAGGTTTCCGGGCACGAGGACCTAATATAGCCAGGAAGATGGACCTCTCTCAAAACAAAGGCCCATACAATCCTCCGGTCAATCCGAATTCCCCGAATTACAATCCTACTTTGGACGGATACCACGACCCGAATGAAGACCCAAGCTATAGTTTTGGGTTTAAAACGCCGACATACGTCAGGAAAGAGAATTCCGATTCGCGAGGTCACGTAAACGGAGCATATTCGTTTATTGACGATGTTGGAGAAAGACACGATGTGAGTTACGAAGCTGGGGCGAAACTTGGTTTTAATGTTAAAACCCCTTTCCCAGATTCAAAACCTTTTAGTGGACTTTTCTATAGAGGTCCACCTTCCAAACCCGGTGGGAAAACGGTTAGAGGGAAAACGTCGATTCAGCAAAGGGGAGATGGGTCTTACCGGTTTGTTTCAGCTGGACCGGATCAGAGGAGAACCGAAGCCAGCGATTCACTGGGGAATGTAAGGGGTTCGTACACTTACATCGACGACAAGGGCCAACAGCGTACGGTACAATATATTGCTGGGCCAAATATCGGTTACAGAATTGTAAATAAAGGCACAGGGCCTAAATTCCCTCAGTTCATCCCTCCTGCAGGGCCGTTCCCGAACTTTCCGAGCGTTTTAGATCCACTGCGCCCAGATTTTCCGCCAGGACCTATATTTACAGGAAGTGATGACGATTTGGTCAACGGAGGCGGCGGCGGATCAAGTTCTTCCGGAGGAGGTGGTATTGGAGGAGGTAGTTCTGGCGGAGGTAGCTTTGGCGTAGGCGGATCTGGAGGAGGTGTATTTGGCGGAGGTAGTTCTGGCGGAGGTAGCTTCGGCGGAGGCAGTTCTGGAGGAGGCGGTTCTGGCGGAAGTGGTTCTAGCGGCAGACCTTTTGGAGGAGGAAATTCTGGAGTTGGCAGTAGTTCTGGGAGTGGGAGTGGAGGAGGAGGTGGTGGTAGTTTTGGTGAAGGAGGAAATACTGGCCAAAGCAATTCCGATGGAGATGTTTTTGGAGTAGGAGGTTCTGTACTTGGTGGGACCAATGGAGGTTCTTCAGGAGGGCATAATGAAGGTATAGATCTGTTTGGTGGCGACGGAGTATTCGGAAGTGGAAACGAGAACGGAATCGATGGAGGCAGTAGTTCGCAGCCTCCGGGTAGCAATTCATTTGGCTCAGGAAGTAGCACATTTGGACCGGATGGCAGTTTTGGAGGGTCAGGCAGTAGTACCTTCGGATCAGGCGGATCAGGGAGTACTACCATAAAGCCAGGCAGTACATTTACATCCGGGACAACATTCGGATCTGGCAGCACTTCTGGGTCGAATGATAACAACTTTGTTGGGAACTCCGGGGTCGGATCTTCAACAACGCAATTTCCCAATAGACCAAGTACAGGTGGTGGCTTATCAGGACAAAGTTTTCCCGGAGGGCCGACAACAACAGCCAGCACTCCATTTCAAGGATACCCAAGTGGCAGACCACCTGCAGGTTCGCCTCAATTTTCCATTCCTGGTGAACATCAAAACAACTGCTGCGGCGGCAAACGACCTTCCAGCACGACCTCTCGTCCGAGCACTCCGGGTCAGATGTACTTTCCTTCGTACGTGTTCCCAGAGGATGACCCTAATCGGCCTAAGAGACCGCTGATTCCTTTCGGCGAGGACTTCCTGGACAAGCCTTACTTTGCTCTTCCTCCAAAGAAACCTGGACAATACAAACCTCTTCGAAACTGGCAAACGCCCGAAGGCGGTTCCACCAAGAGCGACAGCACTTATCTAAGCTCAAACAGAAATTATTACGGCTTTCCCTCCGGGGTTGCAATTAGAGCACATGTGCAATCTCTTGACATTCGACCGTATGGATCTCGCATTCCTTCTCCCGGCTTCGCTTTGGAACATAATATATCCAATCACAAAAGAAAATAATCAATTTTCAATGTGAACGGTCATGAAATTTTTTTATCGATTTATGTCGATTTTAATTTTTTTTTCATTTTGTTATTAAGTTACCAATAAAAACTTCATAATATTTGTAAATAATTTTATATAATAAACAATATTTAAATGAATAGTTCTATATTATTACCGAGTTTTAGTGAATACATAGACATTAATTTAAAATTAAATCATATCACGCACACAACCTTAGTGTTGTACATTTTTATTAAGGGTGAGTAATAGTTGAGTAATATCAAATATTTTATTGCTCAGCTAAATGAGGAATTTCCATTTATAACTTGTAAACAAGTAGGAGTTGCGTCGACATCCGAAGGCTCCTATCCTTTCTAACGTGGGTAGAACAGACCACACATTATATGTAAGTATAATTCGAATAATAATAGATTTTGTTATGTAAAATACGAACGATTATGGTATTTAGTCACTAGGGGATTTCACGATCTCTATGTTATACCTGTTAAATCGTAAAAATGATGACTTAGAATGTAAGAATCGGCTAGTTAACATTGCTCGATCTAACATAGTAGGGCCGATGTTAGATGTTAGGTCAAAAATGTAGTCACAATGCTAGTTAGGGAGTAGGTAACCAACATGGCAGCCATAAATTTAACAGCTGTTTTTGTTTACACGTATTTTTATTCTCAAACACGTATTAATTAAATCAGACCAATAAATTTCTCTTGTTAATTTCTGACCTGTCCTTATACTCTCAGTCCTAATAGATACATCCTTTATCCTATATAGTTGTAGGCGTTATGATACCAGTAGGTATGTCGGCACGAATTGAAGCGTGTCATTTGTTAGCACTTTTCGAGTGCATAAATAACATTTTGAATGAAAGAGTTGATTAATTTTCGTTTTTTATTAACTTCTGGCATCTTAAAATTTAAAGCAAAAAGAAACCAAAACAAAAACAAGCCTTCAAGGACTGTTATAGCTTTATTTTTGGTTCTACCAATCGCCACGCGCAGCACTGCGGAAAAATTAACGTTTAACATGCTAAGAAAAGAGGGGGCGCTCACGATCTTTATGTTAACCCTGTTATATCCTGCTAAATCGTAAAAATGATGACGTAGACTTGCTTAGACGTAGAATTGCTCGATCTAAAAGGCCAGGGACAATGTTAGATGTTAGGTCGAAAATGTCACGAAAATGCAATGTAGTCACATTGCTATCCATTAGGGCGTAGGTAACCAACATGGCAGCAATGAATTTAACTGCTGTTTTTTGCTTACACGTATTTCTATTCTGGAATACGCATTAATTAAATCAGACAAATACATTTCTTTTCTTAATTTCTGACCTGTCGTTAAACTCAGAGTCATAATAAATATATCCCCTACCCTGTAAAGTTTTAGGCTGTTAGACGTTAGGATATGAGTTAGGTATGTCGACACGAATTGAAGCGTGTCATTTGTTAGCACTTTTCGAGTGCATAAATAGCATTTTGAATGAATGAGTTGATTAATTTTCGTTTTTTATTAGCTTCTGGCAACTTACAATTTAACACGAAAACGAAAACAATCAACAACAAGCCTTCAAGGACTGTTATAGTTAATTAAGGTTTTTAGTTGAGATAAAAAAGTCAATGGCACGAGCGGGATTCGAACCCACGACCTTCGGCTAGATACGCCGCTACTCTACCACTTGAGCTATTGTGACCTCGATCCACTCGGACACTAAATTCCCATCTCAACCCCACCTTTTGAATTTTCCTTCCTTTTTGCCATTTTTCAATTGGTCAAGCGGACCACGAAATTAGTGAATTTAATGACTGTTAAAGCTTCATTTGTGGTTCTACCAATCCCCACGCGCAGCATTGCGAAAAATTAACGTTTAACATGCAAAGAAAAGGAGGGCGCATTCACGATTTTTCTGGACAATTCTCTACTCGAGTTAATACGACTTAACATTTTACAAACATCGTGAATACCCGTACCGTTTGATTTTTAAGGCATACTCAAGCTTCCACTTTTTCTTTTATTACTTTTTATGCTTTCACTTAATTTTCCATTCAAAAAGTGGTAAAATGACAAACACTGACACTAATATTCGATATTAGCAGTTAGATTAGACCTCGACTTAAACATAATTCAGTTTATCATACAGAGAATTATCGACCAGCGATGATTAACAAGTGATGATTTGGATCAATTATGTTGTTAAATGAATTGAACCTAGTCACGGTTTCAATTTACTGTAAATAATATTTGTTAATTGGATTGTATATTGATTAAGTTGTTTATTTGTTAAACTGTAAAAATGTTATGCTTTACAAAGTATGGACAAATAAAGACCGAAGTGCCTGAACGTGCCAGTATCCATAAGTATCTATAAGTTCATTCCAAACTTTGTTTTATTGTGAGCCTACGCCATTAAAATAATTATGCCTATCCTTCTGTATAACCCCGAGGAAGGTTAATAAAAAAGGCGAAAGCTTCGCAGAAAAGATACGAATTCTTCATTTTGGACCAAATACGTGATCCCAATCATCAATTAAAATTTAGTTTACAGGAAAATTATTATAAGATTATTGAATAAATATTTTTATTGTTGCAATGCAAAATGTTTGCTACCAAAAATCAGACAAACAGATTTATACTCATACGTTTACCGTGTCACGCCTATATATTACTGCCTAGCATGGTAGGGAATGTAGTTTATAATCTTATGAAACTATTTACAGTTCCTCTTTAACTGTTTAAATAAGCAATTAGATTCATCTTTGTTGAAGCGAGAAATTTATACTTTTATAGCCATATTATAATCAAGCAGTGGTTTATGTAAAGTAATTTATGCCCTATATTATAAAAAAGGTCTTAGCCACATTCCTTCCATAAATATTCCATTTTCCGTTTCATTAGAAGAAAGAGATAGTTGAACAAGACATACTATTTCTGCGGCAAATAGATAACCGCTATATTCCTGGAAACAACAGACCATTTTCGTGGATAGATAAATCAAGTTTTATTATTAGTATCTGTCGTCTTGTTTAATTCATGGAAAATTGCGAAGAACGAGGGGAGAATTTATACGTCAATCTTTGATGGATCTGGTTGAACACACATTTATAATAGCCGACCTAACGGTACATCATTTATAAATTTAAAATGAATAATCGTTTTACCAAAATATGTCATCTCGTTAACATTAAATGAATGCTTCCCTATATCTGATCTGACCACGCAATCCGGCATTTGACGTAAAAAATGCAATAAAATTATTATTAAAAGAAATATCAGGGAGTGTTCCTTGATAAATTTTGGTGATAAATTGTGGTTTACTGTGAAAACTGAAGAGCATTTTATACATCACCTAGTACCTACTCCAGAAATCGTACCTGCCTGCCTGTAAGAATTTGAACAACCCTCATTTTTATTTATTAAAAGTAACCATACACCTTAATATTCTCTTTGTTCCAAAAGTTGCAAAAGACAATTAAAATAATACTTCCAATGTTTTCCGCATATCCCAATCTGTCAGCTCCAATGCCATCCCAGATAATCCGACTCGCCGATTGAAACCCCACGTAATGCCCTGTATACTGGCGACAGACAGTTGAACAGTAAAAAAAAAGTAAAGTTGTTTTCTGCACAAAAATATATACTAACATTTTGTTGGTAACGATCAATAATAGATCTGGCATGATGTTCGCTGATTGACATGCAGGTAATCTATGTAGGATTCCAATCTTCGTAGAGGTCATTAGACAGGTGAAAAAAGACTGAACCCAGCATTTAGTCTTCTTTTTTCATCTCACGAAGATTGACACCCTGCATAGATCTGGCAGTTAAAGAACGGAGGAGATCCCTCAGTTTCAGTGTGTTTCTGTTTGTCAATCATCAATGAGAACACATCGAATTTTCAGATGACCTTCTTGTACATAAGAAACCTCTCTGCTGTCTGCGTTGGTTCCAAATAACTCATGCTATTACTACACATAAATAACATCCTGGAATTCTGCCATTCATTTAGAAATATTATCCCGAGAGAATAGTAAAGAAGAATGGTTTCTCTCCGACAAGGAACTCTAGTGCTCATACCAATATGAAAAAAATTATATTGATAGTTTATTGTGGGTACTCAATGTGGATTTAGGCATATGAAGAGAGATTTCCGTATCTTTGGTCCAGTTCTTGTGTTTTTAAAGTTAAAGTTCCTTACCCTCGGAAGAGTAAAATTCATGTCCCATCCATCATGTCGAACTGCGTCCAAATCCTTTTCCTTATATTTTTGTTTGTAAGATATTCGTGTTAATTCGAATAAAGAAACGTTAATTTTTCCGCAATGCTGCGCGTGGCGATTGGTACAACCAAAAATAAAGCTATAACGGTATTTGAAGGCTTGTTGTTTGTTTTGGTTATCTTTTTGTTAAATTGTAAGATGCCAGAAGTTATTAAAAAAGGAAAATTAAACCATTCTTTCATTCCAAATACTATCTATGCACTCGAAAATTACTAACAAATGATACAATTTAATTCTTGGCGACATCCTAGCTTATATCCTAACGTCTAACAGCCTACAACTTTTAGGATAAAGGATGTATCTATTATGAATGAGAGTATAAGGACAGGCCAGAAATTAACAAAAGAAATATATTGTTCTGCTTTAATTAATGCGTAGTTAAGAATAAAAATATGTGTACACAAAAAACAGCTGTTAAATTCATGTCTGCCATGTTGGTTACCTACGCCCTTACGGATTGCAATGGGACTACATTTTCGACCTAACCTAACATTGGCTATGGCCGGTTAGATCAAGCAATGTTGCCTAGCCGATTCTTACAAGTATACGTCAACATTTTCTAGATCTAACAGGGCCTAACAGACTTAACAGGGTTAACGAAAAGATCGGGAATACCCCTACTATTTGTGAACAGACTACGAATGAAATATCCGTTACATTATCATATTGAACCAGACTCTATTTGAAATTTTCCAGTTGTTTTTTTAAGCCTTGAGTTGCTTCTCAGTAGGAAAATATTTCTCTCTTCTTTAAG